CTATATGGTAAGGGACGGTTTCATACTGCTCCCGTGATGTCCCAGAACTCTCTTCTCCTTTTTAGTGTGAATGTCGACATGTCTGTAAACAGCAGGTTCGCATTATACGGCTGCGGCAAGGCCTTACTTGTTCTTTTAGATTTAAGAATGGCTTTGTTTTATATGGCAATAGTGCATCCTGATCAGAACGTCTCTGGTGCCAAGAACTTTGGCTTAGCAACGGTCCATCAGGAACACATCATGCGGTAAGTCTGGAGCTAGAGCTTTCAAGATGCCAGTAACATATTCAGTTAGCTCGGTCATCCCCATTGTCTTGGCTATTCCGCGAATGCGGAGGTTATTTCTGCAAGCTCGGTCCTCACTATCCGCCAGCTTTGTATCATAGAGGTCCATGCGTGAGATGAGGCCCTCCATTTTTCCCACCTGTCATGGCTACTAGTGTGTCCTACACGCAGAAACTATGTAAACATATACATACAAAAGGAAAGGAAATAAAAGGACAGAGCGTAAACCGGACCTTAGAATGACCGGACTAATACGCTAGAGACAGAGAATGGTCAAAGGGAAAGCCGAGGTCAGTGAAGCCAGAAATACTCAGATACCATTTAAACAAGCTAAGTCAGGGGAACCAGAATTCGGAATAACCAGGGAAAAGCCAAGATCAGGATACCAGGAAGTAATATTCACAAAGATAATTGCACTCTAGGGAACCAGGAACAGGAAACCATGACAGGGCAAGGTACTAGGGTGAATTAGGGATTTAAATATCCCTCTCTAGACTCTGATTGGTCAGAGGGTGACCTCTGACCCCAGAATGTGCGCGTGCATTGACATCGTGATGTCATGCTTACATTTGTATAATTTTGGGAGGTGGAGCCATGGATGGACGTGACCTCATGGTCGGCACCATCTTGGATTTCCCCGAGCGGAGTGGATGAGCAGTTTCCGGCTCGCTGCTGAGCAGGTCAGCTCAGCGAGTTGGTGCGGTCGTGTTGGTCAGGCACGGACGCACATGGCAGTGAGCCGGGGACCGTGACACCACCAGACCATTATGGGCATCCGCGATTTCCGCCATTTTATCCTCTGTAGCAGAAGTTTGTATGCCCAAATCATGTTAAACTTTCCGCAGGTCATTCACCACAGTGTGAAAGTTTGCTGTGAGTTTAGAGGTCATATCGTCCAGCATCTGTTGGAGCAAGCCTCTGGTAAGTGCTGGATTGTTTTCTGTAAGACCTTGAGACAGATTTAGATCATCTTGGCTTGCTTCAGTCAGTTGTAAATTTTTGTTTGAAGTCGCCCTAGAGGAAAAAAGTTGGCTTTCTCTTGCCTCTCTGTGACCCTCTTGCTTTTGGGCTGCGACATCATCAGTTATGGCTGATTGCTGAAGCCAATTACTCATTTTTTGGCCTATTTGGGCCAAAGCAGTTACAGCATGCGACTACTCTGGTCTGCGTCCAGGACCTGCCCCTCTTAATTGAATTATTTTAATTAACTTCCTTCCTTTTTATTCAGATTTCCCAATCTTTTAACCTTTTTTCGTTTCTCAATGTTTCAAGGTTATTATCGTAAAATGTTATTCTTATTGTTTTCTAATATTGTTTTGTTTGAATTGCTCATGTTATTTAATTAAACTCTGTCTCAATTTAAAATATTTAAGAATATTTTAAGAATATATTACGTAAATTCTAATTATACTCCTGGTCAGTAATGTAACTCTGTTAATGGTGTAACTACTTTTCCAGTCACTTATCACTTCCCTGCCATCCACTATCAAGTCTCATCAGTTAGATTGTTTATTACTCAATTACAGTACTTTCCATCCTGCGATAATCAGTTACCCAGGGACCAACATTTTCAAAATGTTTTCACCTACAAACTGATGAGTTACAGCTTATCCTGACCTCATTGACTACATTTACCAAGCTGGCCTCCTGCCATGTTCATCTTAAAGGGACACTATAGGCACCCATACCACTTCATATCATTATCCCTGCCCCCCTAAGCGGCTGTCTACCACGCAGCCACACAGTTTTCCTAACACTATAGTGTTCCTTTAACATTATGCACAGTAGGTATGTAGGTGTATCACTATACCTTTCTTCATCACCTCATTCTAGGTTTACCTTGGATCAGTGCACTTGTACCGTAAATGTCCACTTAATGGAATGTTCAAAATACTAGGTACTTGTTAGCCAGCTTGCAAGTAACATTTGAAGCTGTGAGCTGACAAGCTGGTAAATAACATGTCACTCGTTTCTAAAAGAGCTTTATATATATCTCTGAGAAGAAACAGTCCAATGTCCTTTTTACCACTGGTAAAATGAGAAAAAACAAGATAATTTCAACCTCTATATTTGAATTATGTTTATGTTCAATATCTGTGTTCAATTAAATGTAACAATAAAAATTTAGTGCACAATCTTACCCAATTAAATCTTGTAATACTTTGTCTTTAAATGATGGCTGACATCACTGCAAAATTAACATAGCTGAACAAGCCAGTGTTAGGTTTGCTTGGGTAGGCATGTGTTGCCAAATGAGGGTTACTTAAATGGCAACGTGTAGATGGAGTAAGGATGTGGATCTGACAGTGTTCTTTTAAATTTGTTTTGTACTTTGGAAAGTAAGAGAGTAAGTAAAAATGTATATTTTAACAGAATCTTGACTTTCTACAGAATTTTGAATGGATATTTCCCAGATGATATAAAGATAGTGACCGAGCTCTGGAAAGGACACCTTAATGAGGTCTTATCAAAGAAAACAAGTTTACATGCTGGTTCTCTAAGGCACCTAAACTATTAAAATTCAAATGGGTAGACAGATGTATACTTTTAAAACATTTATTCCATAACAAATTAAAAATGCTCACTGCATAAGGTAATGAACAAGCCTTTACAGCTTGCAAATATTTTTCTAAACAGACCTCCTCTGATAACACAAATGTGTAATATTTCTTCACTGATTCATAGATATGCCCCTTCTCTGTTTGTCAGCCCTGCCGGTGACCTTCTCTTGTCCTCTGCCCACACCCTTATTGCTAATTCATGCCTGTAGGACTTCTCATGGCACATACACGCAATGGCACATACACACACACACACACATATACAGTCACACTGGCACACACACACATGTACACCCACACTGACACATACACACAAACACCGATATCCACACTTGCACATACACACAAACACCGATACCCACACTTGCACATACACACAAACACCGATACTCACACTGGCACATACATACAAATACCCACACAGCTACACACACATATACCCACACTGGCACAAACAGATACCTACACTGGCAGGCGCACACACACTCATACCCACACTGGCACATACACACTCATACCCACACTGGCACATACACACAAATACCCACACTGGCACATACACACACACACACACACTCGGATACCCACACATACAGAGATATACACAATGACACATACACACAGATACAAACACACAGATACAAACACTGGCAAATACACTTAGATACACACACTAGTACATACACACATACACACACACACAATCTAACATACACTGCAGCCACCTGTTAGCTTACCTTTTGGTGTCTGGGCTGAGGCTGATGGGAGTGAGCATGCAACAGCAGCTCACTCCAGCTTCTCCCTACTGCCTGCTGTGGTGCTGCCTTCAGCTTCCTCCTCCAGCTGCCTCCTTCTCCTCTCTCCCACATGGCTGTTTTTTTCAGCTGGAAGGAAATTACAGCATGCCACTTCCTCCAAGCTGGCAGATACAGCAGGGGCCTGGTCAGGCTTTTAAAAGACCGAGCACACCGACCAGGCCCCTGTTCAGGAACAAAACTTATCAGGTGGGTAATGAGTAGGGGTCATTTATCATGTGTAATATCTTGGAAATCAAACACACACAATATGACATGCATTGTATGTCAGATTGTGTGTGATTTCTGGGATATTACACAGGGTGTGCGGGTGTCCGGGATCCTCATTAGACATGCGGGAGTCTCCTGGACCTACCGGGAGACTTGTGATGTCTGCATCTAGTTTTCAATGATTTAAGATGTCCCTCTCAACCCATCTTTTCAGAAATGCTTATGGCCTCCCAGAATAACTTTTTGGGAGGCCACATTCCACTCTCACTTCCATTTCTGCTACTTTCCCACCTTGTTTGTTTGCTTTCCCCCTTGATGCATTCCTATTGTGTTTTTATACCCCACCTCCTCTAGATTGCAATCTCTGTGAGCAGGGTCTTCATCAACATATTTTTCATGTAACTTTTGTAATTGTCTCATTTACTGTTAAATTTCCCCCTTTAATAATATTGCAAAGCACTGCAGAATAAGTTGCGCTATATAAATACAAATAATAATAATTAAGTGCATCACACAACCCAAAATTCCTTTGTGCATTTCGTATTACTATAGGGCAAATCGCTACTTGCATCACTTTGCAATCAATCAGTTAACGGAATGGAAGGGTTAAAGGAATGCAAAATTGTTTTCCTAACACATTAGTTTTCATCTGAATCCGTGGCCCCCCTTGCAGCAATAAAATGGTTAAAAACCATTTAAACATTTAGCTGATTCCAGCGATGAGGTCTATCAAAGCTGCTTCCATCTCTACCTCATTTGACGTCAAAGCGAAGGGGGGCATAATGAATCAATAACTGAATCAATGCTTTCCTATGGGGATTTGCAAGACACTGGATGTCCTCAAGCAAAACGTGAGGACGTTCAGCATCGTTTCACAGAGTAAAACTCTGCGAAACTGCAGGAAGTGCCTCTAGGGGATGTCTGGGATACATCTACTAGAGGCAGTCTTAACCCTGCAACATAAACATTTCATTTTCTCTAAAACTGCAATGATTTCAGCTGCAGGGTAAAGGGGACAGGGACGTTGCACCCAAACTATTTCAATGAGATGAAGTGGTCTGGGTGCCTATAGTGTCCCTTTAAGCAATGCAACAGACACATTATTAGTAAAATATATAGCAGATTTACAGGGAGTGCAGAATTATTAGGCAAATGAGTATTTTGACCACATCATCCTCTTTATGCATGTTGTCTTACTCCAAGCTGTATAGGCTCGAAAGCCTACTACCAATTAAGCATATTAGGTAATGTGCATCTCTGTAATGAGAAGGGGTGTGGTCTAATGACATCAACACCCTATATCAGGTGTGCATAATTATTAGGCAACTTCCTTTCCTTTGGCAAAATGGGTCAAAAGAAGGACTTGACAGGCTCAGAAAAGTCAAAAATAGTGAGATATCTTGCAGAGGGATGCAGCACTCTTAAAATTGCAAAGCTTCTGAAGCGTGATCATCGAACAATCAAGCGTTTCATTCAAAATAGTCAACAGGGCCGCAAGAAGCATGTGGAAAAGCCAAGGCGCAAAATAACTGCCCATGAACTGAGAAAAGTCAAGCGTGCAGCTGCCACGATGCCATTTGCCACCAGTTTGGCCATATTTCAGAGCTGCAACATCACTGGAGTGCCCAAAAGCACAAGGTGTGCAATACTCAGAGACATGGCCAAGGTAAGAAAGGCTGAAAGACGACCACCACTGACCAAGACACACAAGCTGAAACGTCAAGACTGGGCCAAGAAATATCTCAAGACTGATTTTTCTAAGGTTTTATGGACTGATGAAATGAGAGTGAGTCTTGATGGGCCAGATGGATGGGCCCGTGGCTGGATTGGTAAAGGGCAGAGAGCTCCAGTCCGACTCAGATGCCAGCAAGGTGGAGGTGGAGTACTGGTTTGGGCTGGTATCATCAAAGATGAGCTTGTGGGGCCTTTTCGGGTTGAGGATGGAGTCAAGCTCAACTCCCAGTCCTACTGCCAGTTCCTGGAAGACACCTTCTTCAAGCAGTGGTACAGGAAGAAGTCTGCATCCTTCAAGAAAAACATGATTTTCATGCAGGACAATGCTCCATCACACGCGTCCAAGTACTCCACAGCGTGGCTGGCAAGAAAGGGTATAAAAGAAGAAAATCTAATGACATGGCCTCCTTGTTCACCTGATCTGAACCCCATTGAGAACCTGTGGTCCATCATCAAATGTGAGATTTACAAGGAGGGAAAACAGTACACCTCTCTGAACAGTGTCTGGGAGGCTGTGGTTGCTGCTGCACGCAATGTTGATGGTGAACAGATCAAAACACTGACAGAATCCATGGATGGCAGGCTTTTGAGTGTCCTTGCAAAGAAAGGTGGCTATATTGGTCACTGATTTGTTTTTGTTTTGTTTTTGAATGTCAGAAATGTATATTTGTAAATGTTGAGATGTTATATTGGTTTCACTGGTAATAATAAATAATTGAAATGGGTATATATTTGTTTTTTGTTAAGTTGCCTAATAATTATGCACAGTAATAGTCACCTGCACACACAGATATCCCCCTAACATAGCTATAACTAAAAACAAACTAAAACTACTTCCAAAAATATTCAGCTTTGATATTAATGAGTTTTTTGGGTTCATTGAGAACATGGTTGTTGTTCAATAATAAAATTAATCCTCAAAAATACAACTTGCCTAATAATTCTGCACTCCCTGTATATCACATCTAAAGGCTTCGCCACCCTTGCAAACAATAGTGTTCAGATTCCACCCAGGCTCTATATATTGTGTTTTGTTTTGGTTTGGTCTTTTAAAGGAAAAAAAAGGAAATCTGAGTTGGACCATACTCCCCTAATAGCAATTCTTTAGGAGGGAGAGCTATCTCCTTGTCCATGCATTCTGTTTCCACTAGAAGATTCATGTTCAGGATTAGTCACTTTACAATTGGAAACGTGTATCCACAATTTGATCAGCTGCATTTTATCTTTTACATAAGATGTAACAAGCACTTTTCTTGCAAAGTCTTATATCATCAAAAATCTCCAGGAATGATGGCATGCAATGGTATCATTCATGGCGGCTGTACAGCATGTGATCGGTTTTAAAAACACAAATGCTTGCGTTAATGACATGCAAATATTACTCATTGCTATTTAAACTCATAGACAATGGACAAGGACACATAACACACATATCTATCACAAAACATAGATTTCATACTCAGCAATCATTGCAATATGATTTATGTTGTCATTCAACAAAACAGAAAACAAGAGACATAGTGGATACACACAGTGGACAACCAGCAGAGTTGCCAATGCAAAAAGCACATCCATGGATACACAGATAAACCATAACCAACCCAAAATAAGTTAATAAAATAAGTAAATAAATTTCACACAGTATATCCTTCAGAGGAAACACTGTAAGACAAAATGTGATTACAAATGCATGCTGAAACCAACACCTCCAATTAAATATTATACTCCATTCGCTATCTTGGGCTTAAAACAGTCATAATTAGGATTTATACTTTTAAAATAGAATACAGAGATCTTTTGAATAAGCTCTTGCATAGTCAGATTTTCCACATCACATACTTTAACCTCCACAAACAACTAGTTTCATTTCTAACCTCAAACTTTTATAAAACAAGCTTCAACCATTTTCTCCGACATACTATTTTCCTTCTAATTGCATTCTTTACCCTGCACAGGTATACCAAACAGTTAAGAACTGAATTCAAAGCATGACGAATCCGTACAGTATGAGATCTCGGAATGTAAAACTCCCTGACACAATAGATAGAGTGAAGCTCTGCAGTCCAACGCCCACTAATCTTCATCGGCAAAAACGGCTGTAGTATACATCAGCCCATACAACATTTATTCAAGAGGCTATAAGGCAAAAAGTCCACAGATAGGGACAAAATTATTCAAGTATGTATGAAAAAACAGTACACAGTAACGACTCATTCTAATTGTCAGTTATGTTGCACACACCATATATTCATACCTTCAGCTTTAACAAGGGCATTCAAACCACACACTAACATATAGTCACTGCATCCACACAGTATAAACTTGTAACAGCTATAGTATTTAGAACATATTATTTTAAGGTATACCATGTTTTTTTTGTTTTGTTTTTTCTCACATTCTCTACCTATGTTTAATTTTATTTACTTAAATCACCTTATTATACTTAACCCCTTAAGGACTGAGCCAAAGGCACACGTTGTGATCAAATCAAAACGTAAACAAAAACTTGAATTTGCGCTAAATGTCTGTTCAGGCGTAATTTGTCTCTTTCATATTATGTTCACCCACACTTATTATATATAATTTTATTCAGGGAAAAACAGGACTTTCATTTAACATCAAATATTTAGATATGAAACATAATTTAATATGAATAAAATATAAAAAAAATGGGAAAAAAGAAGAATTTAAAAAAAAAATGTAGTTCTACGTGACATTTTAACTGTGAGTGTTGTTGGGTAATCTAAGGTTTTATATGTATGGAATATAGATTTAATAATATCTGATGATATTCACACACACATAGAGCCTTCAGGGACCCTGTAGTTCTTTGTTTTAAGTGGTGATATAAACACTTATGAACAGCAGATGGCCAATAAACAGACTTTGCTTAAAATATATATATAAATTTAATAATACACACTATAAAATGCAAAGCAACAAAACAATACAATTATAATCAATTTGCTATATTATATATGAGTTTATGTCAACAAGTCAATTAGTTTACTTGACAAGCCTAGGAGTCAACATTACGCTTTGTCTCATCTATAATCTTATCAGCAAAGGACAATAAAAGCTATTACAAACTTCACAGCAATACCAGTATACAGAATTAATCATATGACACCCCTTGCATTAATGATACAATTGTCATTATATTAATTAGTTAAATATCAACCAACCCTGCCAAGTATATACCATCAGTTTAACTACAGTACGTTTATATAAGGTTTCTGATAGCCTTAGTGTATATATATATATATATTTTATTTTTTTTGAACTGATCTACTTCTAAAGAAGGAATCAAGAATGTTCCGACTTAGGAAGTTTTATCTGACTCAGGCTGCAGGTAGAATGAGATATAACTGTTCTATCAATAGGGATCAGTTCACAATATAGACACATAGGGCATTCAATAGTCCAGTTTATTTAATATAAAGTAAAGATAAACCTTTATACATTACCAAGAGCCTAGGATAAAGGAATTCAATTTAGGATTCTCCTCTCTGGGTGCTCTGGTCTGTAACTCAGTCTATTGCCCTTAGTTAGTCAGTCAATCTCCTCCTGTCTTAGCTCTCTGTTTTCTCTTTTGATCTTTTTTTTAAGATGATCTGAAGATATTGATCCTCTCTCTTATTTTTCTCCCTATTTAACCATTATTTCCCCCTTATCAGTTCCTGCCCCTTGTTTGTAAATAGGCGGTACCTGGGACTTAAATCTGGCTTTTGATTGGTTATGGGAGTATCTTAATATTTAATTATTAATGTGGCCCTTAGGGACTTTCATCAATAGATGGCACTATTTCCCTAGGTATGAAGACCTGATTTAGATCATTGATGACCTGGTTAAATAAATAAATTGACCTTTAATTCACCTATACTGGGGATATTTCAAATAACGTTAAATATCTGTCTTTGGTTATGTATATTCTTTGATTGAAACAGGGTTGGTTATATTAGTCATCATGCAATATGTCTATATCCTGTATAAATCTAACCTGTATGATTAACTGATTGATACATTCATCTTTTTATATAGCGCGCTTTTTCTCAGATGTATTTATTTTAACTTTATTTAGCAATTGCATATATGCCAGCTACTCTAGCCATACAAGGTTTATACCCAGTCGATATTTTCTTTCTCAGATTATGCTACATCAACCTAAAAAACATTTAGCAAGTATTTTGGCCAGGTGACACAGAACTGGTGTCATCTGCATTTTATGTGGCCTCAGATATTCAACATATTTATAGCTATGCCATGTTAACTGTCCGGCAAACCGTTGATTAGACTGGTCAAAGTTGAATATCCAAAATATACCGTTGTCTGTGATTATCTGATCCAGACTACAAGCCTGACCAAAACCACAAATCCCATGCACCTAAAGTCTACAGTTGTGGTAACAAGGAATAAAAAAATCAAACAAATCTCCTTCAATATTTTAGTCCACTTTTACCATTTAAAAAAAACACACATCAAATGAGAGATATATTAGCAGTAGGCCTTTTTGTATTGAGTGACATACACATGTCCTCGTCTTTGCCAAAGGGAGGTATTGGTAAAAAGTGGCATTGTACACCACTGGCATTGTACATCATTCTAAGTGGGTCTATGGTCAACGTAACCTCTTGAGGCCTGTCAGTATAAAGACAGATACTGACGTGGGAGAGAAAGGACACATGCCCCTCTGAAGTGCAAAGTGAAAAATGCACCATCATATGATTCATTAATGGTGTTGGTCATTGCGAGGTCACAGGGTGAAGACACAGTTGTGCCTCCCTGGAAAATAAATGCTCAGTCATGAAGGGGTGACTTGGCAAAGACTCGGGGCTGTAGGTAAGTTAGTTGTGGTAGGGTCAATGGTGGTAACCCAATAAGAGGAGAAGGAAACCCATATTTTCCCACATGTACGCATTTACTCCTCATCCCAGGAGTCCAAGCCTCCTTTTCTGGGAAATATGGTCCTGCCTTTTATTCCCTGCTACGGATTTCTGAAAAGTGGCAAATTATCCAAATTGCATAAATCCCGAATTGCTGAAGTTCCGAATTATGCCCCTACTCGCTATACCGTGAGTAGGGGCATGTCTATTAAACAGTGAACAGCCTGTGTCCTCCCTCCGGGCCCCCACCCCTGA